CAAATACATGCATTAATAATTATTTTAAGTTAACACAACACACTTTTCATTCAAATTGCTTAGTGTTGATATTATACATTCAAATGAAAAAATGTCACATTAGAAATAAATGTTTTATACTTATAATTTACACCTTGATATATAATTGTAAGGTCTTGGGTCCGATTGGAAAGACTTTTCCATAGCAATTGATATGTCATACTCAAAACCAATTTTACATGATAACATTGGTTTTTAAAAGATGAAATATTTTTAGTAAAAAAGCATTCAACCTAAATTAAAAAAGCTAATTGAAATCGTACCGTATTAAATTACCCATTAAACTCTAATAAACTTACCTATTAAATTAATGCTTTATATTTATAATTTACACCTTGATATAAAATTGTAAGGTCATCAGTCTTGGGTCCAATTGAAAAGACATTTCCATAGTAATTGGTATAGCCTATTCTCAACGCCATAGATATTTCTGACATGATAACATTGATTTTTAAATGATAAAAGATTTTCGGAAAAAAGCATTCAACCTAAAATAAAAAAGCTAATTGAATTCGTATTGTATTAAATTATCTATTAAACTTTAATACACTTACCTATTAAATTAATGGTGTGTCCAAGAATGTAACGTCAAAATAAAGTCGAGAGCAAATATTATCAATTGATATATTTAAAAAATTATAAAATAACGAGTTATGACATAACTACAATAAGCATGCTATCATATTTACTATAAAGTATAATGTAAATTTACTAACATTTTTTAATTAAGTTTGCAATTTCTCATTTCACCAATGGAAAACGTGTGAACTTCGAAGTCGAAATTTGTTAGCGATGAGGTTATGTACAAATAATAAATATAATGCGATTTTGTACAAATAATAAAATATATTATGGGTACGGGTCACTCGATTATTCCGTGGTAACTGATGCATAGTTTAGATACTAGATTGTTATCCGAGATAACCAGCTAATGACTAGCTCCAGCTAGATTAGGTTAAAGTGTAAAGTCCGTTATCCGTAACAGTCTACCTTTCGTCTAATAATGTATGGTTATTTATTATATCTGATTATGATACGGAATGCGTTAACATCAAATTATTATTATATTTGATGTGATGACCGTCGTAATAAAACTACTTGTCTTTGTCGAATCGAATGAAATTATTAAGAAATATAGACAAAAATTCAAATCTTTACAAAGTCATAAACAGCGAACAAATGGATGAAAACTAAAAATTCAAACGCTAACATTTTTTTAGATTTTTTGTCTTTATATTTATGGAATTTTAAACATATGTTCCCATTTGAAAAAACGAGGTTCGTACTTATTTAACGTATAAGGGTTGAAGATAAAATTTTTCTAAATATTGAAAAATGTAGCTAAATATGTACCTAAAATTTTTAGGAAAAAAAAAATTCGCAAAATATTCATACTTTCAGTGAAAATGAGTGTCTTACGTTAGTTGGATCACCCTGTATAGTGGCACGCGGGACTTCAGAGTTCGAATCCCACCTGATGAGCCACCTGATAGTACACCTGTTAAGCCGACCAGTTTCAAAGATTCTACTTCACACCTATGTACACAATGAACACAGAATAAATACAGTGCAATATTATGATAATTTTGGTAAATCGAATATTAGCCCGTCCCTAAAACAAAATCCTGGCTACACTAGTTTTTTTTCAATCATGAATAGTTTGTTTGGAGGGTTTCAAGTTTTGACAGTAGTAATAGATTAGTTCTAAGGTCGTCCAATTTGTACATTGTCACAAAGTAACCAATTTTTTTTTCTAAATACACTCAAAGTTACGCACAAAATAATATATCTACAAGCACTGTATACCAAATGTAATACTTAAAAATTAAACAAATTATTTATCCACGCTGAAACGATTTACAAAAAGTACATAATTGTAGGTGTATATTCGCATTGACTCATTTTCCATGTTTTAAATAGACCTTTGGATTCTTCCAATTATTTAGTCCACTCTTCTGTTTACATAAAAACAGTGTAATAGAAAACAAGATGTACGTTAGTTGCCATTATGAAACTTGTGTGTATTATAAGACCGTTTTAGATCCATCTTTGGTCTAGTTTTCAGATCTTAAGTCGTACAAGTTAGCGGGGAAAACTAATGAACCTAATAAAAAAGTATCTAACTCTCTTAGGGGAAATGGTTTATGATCATCTTTGGTTTTTTCAACGTCTATATAAATTCAGAACTAGTGATGGGAATCCGAAAATCCGGATTTTTCAAAAAAACGCTTGTTAAGTCATTTGAAAATCATATAATTGTTAAATACTATTACAATATAAAGATGTGTACCTAAGTAAAATTTGTTAATAAAAATTTTTAAAAAAAACTCTTAACTTTGTCTATAAAATGCTTTCGGATTTCGAATTTTCGGATTACAACAAACCCGAAATTCAAAAGAAGTTTATCTCTTTGGTGTTTTGTTTTATTTTCACATATTTATCAAAAAAATGTTACTTAGATATAGAGCTTTATATTGTAAAATTATTTAACACTTAAATGATTTTTAAGTAGCTTAAAAAGCGTTTTTTGTGAAAATCCGGATTTTCCGATTCCCATCACTATTTGGAACTAAATTGACTATTTTTTGAAAAAGTTATAGAGCGTTGTAATTTTAAGTTTAAAAACCAGTACAGTGGAGTCGGGGTATAGTGGGTTCGGGGCATAGTGGGAACGGGGAGGTCACAGGTTTACAGGAGTTTTTAAAACTGAAAGTGATAAAATCACTTTTGTAAAAACGCTTCGATGCAAATCAGTAGTTAGTATTTTCAAGCCAGTACAATCCAAACCAAGCACAGTGTAAGCCAGCAAAGTTAGAAAGTATTAAATTGAATCGGTCATTTCAGAAACGACTTAGGTGACCGATTTTTCAAAAATGTCTTTTTGACAAATTTAATAATTGTATACTTAGTTACGTGTTCTGTGTGAAAACTAAACTTGTCAGACTCCTATTAAATACAAATGTTGAGTACAAGAAATTAAAAATCACTGTAAAAACTATTTATGAAGTTTCTTGTGGCTAGTGTAAAATTTCAAATTTGTTACTTGTGTCGTTTTTGAAATGACCGATAAAATTACAAAATAAAAGCATCAAAGCGTTTATTTGAAAGTGAGTTTATTCATTTTGATTTATAACAATTCCTGTAGAGTGTAAACCTGTGACCTCTTCGTCGCCTCGTTGCTTTGATTCCATTATGCCTATATTCTACTGTACTGGGCCTCTCGGATAAAATCACTTTCAATTTACGCTCTGATGCTTCTATTTTGTAATTTTATCGGTCATTTCAAAAACGACACGAGTCATAAATTAAAAATTTTACACTAGCCACATGAAACTTCATAAATAGTTTTTGCAGTGATTAAATGCAACAAAAATTTGGAAATAATTTGACTATTTTTGAAAAAGTTATAGAGCGTCGTAATTTTAAGTTTGAAAACTATGTCATTTTTTCGGAGTGTTCCTTTCGATTTTAAAGGGGAAGGGTGAATTTTTCAAACTTGTGTTTTATTAAAGCACTTTTTTTCAAGTACGAATACTGATCTATGAACAATGAATAAATTAACAAATACGGAAGATATAAAACCTATATTTTTCACTTTTGGCAAATATGATTAGAAAATATAATTAATGATAAAATCTTTGTTTACTAAATACCCTTTTTTAGAAATTTAGAATATCTAATTTAGAAACTTGTGTTAATCCGTGTAGATTTATTATAATGTTAAGTGATTATTTTTACTATACTCAAGTAAGCAAGTTAGTAAGTATTAATTCAAAATATATTATATATTTATCCAAGCTAATACATTGGCAAGAGCTTTTATTTTTATTACTTAGGAATAATGTTATTAATTTTTAACATAAAATATTAATTAAAAAAAAATGTGCTTTGTTTCCAACCAAACTTAAAAAAAGTTTATCATATGGGGTATTTTGTCCCAATTATGGTATGAATCATAAAAATCAAAATCTATTTTAGCTTTAACATGGAGCGTACAAGTTAGGTGTTTGTTTTACGACGATGTACTTTATTAAATTTATTCGCTTTGTATGTGTACCCACATTCTATACTAATGTAAAATAAAATAAACATGAAAAGGCAATGCACAGCCAAAATCAACAAACATGGTATTGCTTTTAAACAAATTCAATTGTAATGTAAATTTTTAAAACAGATGTTTTCTTGTAGCCCGCATGCATAGCTTTTGTGGTTTAACACATGTGTTTTACCATGTTTTTTCGTTTCGTTATTTGCTCCTGATAACTGAATAGTTGTACATATTTAAACAAAACATTCATACTAAAAAATACTTAAACATACGTAGACTATTGTAAATATTGGCGACTTTTAGTAAACTTTTGTAGACATCTAAAACAAGTAAGGTATTTGTTTTACGATGATGTACTTTATTTATTTTATTCGTTTTGTATGTGTACCCATGGTTAACTAACAATTTATAATTTTGAAGCAGCATTCTATACCAATGTAAAATAAAATAAATATGAAAAGGCAATGCACAGCCAAATTCAACACAACATGGTATTGCTTTTAAATAAATTCAATTGTACTGCACATTTTTAAAACAAATGTTTTCTTGTAGCCCGCATGCACAGCTTTTGTAGTTAAACACATGTGTTTTACCATTGATTTTTCGTTTCGTTATTTGCTCTTGATAACTGAATAGTTGTACACATTTAAACAAAACATTCATGTGTAAAAAATACTTAAGCATACGTAGACTATAGTAAATATTGGCAACTTTTAGTAAACTTTTGTAGACATCTAAAACAAGTAACAACATGTGTATAAAACAACATAGGTGAATATGTATTATACTTACAATGATATCAATATTGATATTTATCTAAGTTCAATGTAAGATATCAAACTACAAATGTTTAACTATGTGGTACTATATAACGTGGACTAAATTAAAGCAAAACCATCATTATATACTACGTTTTCGTTAGAGCGTTTTCAATTATTTCAATAGCTAACACCTGTATTTAAAAGTTAAAATGAATTCTAAAACAATATTCGTTTTATGTTTAGTACTTTTCTGTTCAATGCAAGAATCGTCTGGAATGAAGCGTGCCAAAAGCTTAACGGCTAAATTGTTTAAAGGCAAATCGAGTAAATACTCTGTGTTAGGTAACGTTAAGGCTGAAACAGGATCAATTGAAGAAGATTCAAATGAAGGCAGTGGTTCGGGTTCAAACGAACCGTCTGCAGGCGAAAATAATGATGGTTCAACTGATGCCAGTGGTTCGGGTTCAAACGAAACGAAGAATAATTGTACCGTACAGGTAATCAGTATTTAATTTTTATCTCAAATATATTTAAATACATATGTAATATTAATTGTAGTACCACGGTATGTGCGAAACGGTTTATCTTTTTAATCATTATATTATTATAGAATATTATATTGAATAATTATGAGTACGACTACAGTATAAAAGTTTTTTTTATTTAATAACATATAAATTATTTTTTAATTGATTTCTTATACCTACGCATCAAATGACAATTATTCATATTTTAAAAAAAATACTGACGCGTTTATTTCAAATGTATTTATGGTATTTCAGTATTTTAAAATGATTATTATACTAGTGAGTTTAAGTAAAATGTGTCCAGTTTCGGATAAAAATGTTTAAATGAAATCGTTGACATTTTATTTATTCATTAAAATTAAGACGGATTATTTTCAAATATTATATTGAACAATAAAAACTAGCACTGCTGGCTGTAGATTAAACGTATTATGACGGCCATGGTAAAGGGCACGTGAATTTTAACGACAATTTAAACTGAGTTATTTAATCATTAAATTACTAGCTATTTGTTTATAATAATATATACTTAAAATTATACTAAAATGTTAAATTATATGAAAAATAATTTTATTGTTGTATTGATATAAATGTTAATATTATTTTAGTCATACTGGAATTTATGTAAGAGGATGTTAAGTATAACCGTAGACCGAGAAAATCCCCAAGCTGGAAGACTTACCCGAGAACAGTTTAACAATATTACAGGTTTACAATGCCGTGGTAAGATATCAAATATAAAATACAAAGATAATTAGTTACGTTGATTACCCAAGTGCGTGAGATGTATTTCATTAATTCCAAAGACGAATCAATCAGTATAAAATATTACGGTTAATAATATTCGGATAAAATAAAACGTTTTAGTAAGTTTTATTTAAACGCTCGTTTTGAAACTACTGTTTTCTTGTCATTTTAACTGATTAGTAATAACATAATTTAAAATATTCAAAAGGAATAAAAAACCCCAATAAGTATGTAGGCCAGCAACGGAGAGCGACAAGTTTATTTTGTAATCATAAAAATATTTAAACGTTTTCAGGCAGTTGGTATGATGAAAATGGCATTGCATTCGGAGAGTTTGAAGAGCTAGTGGAAGGTATGGACTTGGGCCAATTGTTTTTAAACACTCAGCACAGATTTGGCGGATAAAATTGTTCAATATACAATTAAATATAATACAATTTAATATAAATTCAATATAAATTAAAATGTATATGTAAAATATACATTTAATAAAACATATACTATGTTATTGTAAGCATAATCCGTGTACCTTTATATCCTTATCTGGTGAAATTCTTCATCAAAATCTTGCATTTTCCATACAAGAATGACAAAAAAATCGACACCGTGTAAATTTAAGAGCTTGTTGTGAATAGGAAAAAGCCCCAAATGCTTCACACTAAAAAAAGATAGATGGTTGATCTTAGCCTTATTATAAAAAATAATATGCACATAGAACGGATTTGATATCAATGCGGTAATTTGATGTTGAATTTGAAAAACTCCTGTGTCTTATAAACGCTTAGTTTTTTTCTACAAGACATAAAGGAGATAGGCCAAGATTAAAAAGGATTACGTGGATCTAGGTAGTACATTTTCATGGCAAGTATACTCTGTTTAATTTTATCATAAGCTTAGTCAGTATGTACTACATCAACTTGGTATTTTGTTTTAAATGTATCTATAATAAAATAATCGAATTTACAATAATGCGCTTAATACGAGCTAACATATATGATAAAATTAGCACAATTGCTATTACTTAAAAAACAGTGTATTTTGAAATTATTATTTTATTACAATAAAGCAAATTGCAAGTCTATAAGATAAAATTCTATGTGATTTGAGGTAATGAGCTAATATTTACTCGAATCTTCACAAATTATAGGTACTCACTAAAAATGATTATTTAAGAACAGTTTTATTCATTAATATAAGCAATGTCTTTAAAAAAAATTGATTTGATAATATTATAATTGATATTTTTTTTGAGAAGTTATCAAGCTTTATACTTTTAACCGATATTAATATTAATGATACCGACAAGATCATGTTGAATACACTACTTTATACTTTGTGTTCAACACGTTTACTTTTATACAAAACAGATGAAATCGGTACAAGATTAAATACAATCAAAACAAGTTTCCATACTTTTAGTGTTATAATGTTTTGGTTATTTGCACAAATGTTATACTCATATAAATCTAGTTATAAAGCTGTTGTAATAAACACATGCAATAGGTAAAAATGACTGCTTAAAAAATAAATTACCAAAAATGTAAAACATTTTGGACGTTTTATAATGTAGTAAGAATTTATGTCTTAAAAATTAAAAAAAAAAAATTAGGAAATTGCAATTATTGTTTTCCGTGAAAATTAATGGATCACTTTTGAGTTCAAATTTTTAAGGAAATTGCGTTTTTAGAAAACACTCTATAAGAACCAAAATTGAAGCCTTACAGATGAAGTTTTTTCTTGCCAAAAATCTGTGTTTTTTTATTTTAACGCGTTATAATTTTTTGAAAAACACCGTATCTAACTATTGAATTTTTTATAGGCAAAATAGAAAACGGGTAAGACACAATATTATTTTAATATCACAATACTACCTGATTTAAGTATAATAATGAATACGTTTATCGTTATTAGTTTTACTATATTGTACAAAAGCCAACGATACGTTTTGTATCGCTTTATAATGTAGACAAAAGACAAATAACTGTTAGCATGGCCTATTTTTTAAAAGTATTTTACAAATCCCATTTTATAGTTTTACTTTTTTTTTCTATTGTAAACAAGTTGTTTTTTGGCCATATCTAGTTTTGTTATCAATGCATCTAGACGTTTGAATAAGCTTGCGTGATAGTACCATTTTGTGTTCAAATTTTTAAATCTGTGTATTAATTTATTTAGTTTCAATTCTTTAATTTATCACAGTTAAGAAAATAGTTTCGTTATACTTAACCAGCTCTCGCGCCCCTTTGGCTTCGTTATAGGCCTACGAAAATGATTTTTTTAACATTGCCAGTGCACCATAAAAACCCTAACAAAGAAATTTAAAAACAATTTTTTTAGCATTAATTACTTTATTGAGCATCGAAAATGTGGAAATAAAACGTTTACTGTTTTAACAAATACAAATGGCGTGCACTGTAAAAAATATAGTTAAAATAACATTTTTTAATTTTTTTTTTTATAATTTTTATTGATTTTTTTACTGGCTACTATTTTCCTAATTACTACGTGGGTGTTGTTATTCACTCCAATATTTATTTCATTCGACACAGTCTTCGCGACGTTTACTGTTAGTGACGTTAAAACTGCTATCGATAATTTAAATTAGTGTTTTTTTTTAAATTTAATTCACCGAATCAAAAAACATGAAAAGATTCATGCTCGATGGCTGGAAGGTATGCCACCCATGTTTGTTTTATATGTACTAGATTTAGTGAAATATTTTATTTCATAATACTACTAAAAATTGTGTTTTCTGTATCCGACTAAACAAACTATTAATACCCAATGAGATTTATCCCACGGAAAGTGCTCTGACTTATTCGAATGATATTTGCTACATAGAAAGGGTAGAAAAATGCTTAAAATACAGTAAGTCGAAATGTATCTTCAAATAAACGATTATAAGGAAAAAATGAAAAACGCCTATAATTTAATTCGTAGTAAAAAAAGGTGCAAATTTGAGCATCTTTCCGGTATAGTGTTAAGTGAACATAATTATATATATTAAAAAATAATAATAATGGTAAACCGCAGTGAAAAATGTACATATCTGCAAAATAAATATAACATTCTGGTTAAAATTTTAACACGAATAATCAAACAAACATATTGTAGTGAGTGCTGGTTAGTGGGCTTGTTATATATGTATAATATATTTTTTTGTATAAAATGCAAAATGTGGCTATGATATTTTTTTTGTTCTGTTCGGTTCACTAGTGTCTTATATTAATCCGTTGTATAAATATTATTAATTATTTTTTATACTTCCTAATTCGTAAAACAATGAGATATATTGAATAATAACGAATGTTTACTTGTGGGTCAACAACCACAATAGCATAGTAGAAAATGTATATCAAATTTCACTTAAAGCGCGTTTTTTCACGAATACAGTTTAATTGAACGATCATAGTTGAATATTATGACTTTTATCAATTTTTGTTCAATAGAAACATGATAAAAAAACAGCTCCATATCGAAGCTAAAAACAAAATCTAAACAAAGCAGGCAGTTTTAGGTCGGCTATGTTGGAAAACATACCGTTCGATACGCGCTAATAAAAAATTTGTTATAACTATGATTGAAACCCAAACCGGTCTGTACTCGGCTGAGTATGTTAACAGACATGCTGTCGGTACGCGGTTTTTAAACTTACTAAAGTCAGAGCGTGGCTGAATTTATATAAAAATACGGGATAAATACCATCGGCCGAAAATGCGAAAAGAAAAATTCGTAGATATTTTATTATTTGATAAAATATCTAAGCTTGTTCTTTTAATTTTCTCCATCAAGCTTCCTGTAGCTTCTATAGAAAGACGACAGTAATTTTGTTAACATATCTCTGTACATAGTCAACTGAATATTAACACCAATAATATATAAAAAAAGAATCTACACGGTGTAGACTACACCTATATTGTGTATAAATTCGGCATGACATGAATCATGTTCCAATTCAACGAGTGATGTTATTGGACATTTGGTCTTGATTCCTAATAACGAATTTTTAAATTCCATAATATTATCTTCTACATGTTTTTCGTCTGCAATAAACATATAATTCGTCTAAACTTTTGCACTTTTTATAAGCCACCACTCGCTAGACGAGATGACAATATTTTGGATAAAAATGTCATACTCTTTTTTTGATAAACGGTAAACCTTATTTTTTAAATTTAAAATAACATTTTTTACTTTTCCAAAATACCTATAAGGTTTTATATGAAACATACATATTTGTCTTTCCAATAATGTTACTTCCACTTAGCACAAAGTTAAAGCTTTATCAACCTATTATTCAAACATCAAAGCTTCTGCTATTTTCTTTCCGTTCTTCATCTTTTCCAGCTAGAGGAAATGCTAAAAATGATAAAAATTCGAATATAATCCAACTTTTTGTAATATAGCGTAAACCAATGTGTTTTCAAAAAGAAAAATTACTTAAACCAACTAATTCAATTTCTAACTTTGCTGGTTTATACTGTGCTTGGTTTGGACTGTACTGGCTTGAAGATACTAACTACCGACTTGCATCGAAACGTTTTTTCGAAAGTGATTTTATCACTTTCAGATTTAAAAATTCCTGTAAACCTGTGACCTCCCCGACCCAACTATGCTCCGTCCCCACTATGCCCCACTGTACTGTTTTTTTTAAATACAACATTATTATAGCCAAACAGTCTTCATCGGTCTTGTTGAGGCTGTCGTACAATGTTATGGTTTTCTTTTTTGAATTTACTGTTACTAACTTCCAGCGTTTTTCCTTGTTGACTGGTATGAGGATCAAATCTTTTTTATATATGATAATAAACACTACAATTTTAGCCAGAAACTTGATTGTACATAATTTTTTAATCTCCTTGGCCTTATGCTGTAACTGGAAGCTCCATGTAATTTTTTTTTTATTATTATAATTCTACAACTAATCTAAATTTATTCGGTACTTTAACGAGACATGAAAATGTTCTATCGTGGTTGCAGACTCGGCTGTTTAAATACTACATTATTATAGCCAAACAGTCTTCATCGGTCTTGTTGAGGCTGTCGTACAATGTTATGGTTTTCTTTTTCGGATTTACTGTTACTAACTTCCAGTGTTTTTCCTTGTTGACTGGTATGAGGATCAAATCTTTTTTATATATGACAGTAAATGGACCTCTAACGTGTGTTAAATAATTCATTATTCAAACGTATAAAAATATATATTATTGTATTTAAATAACATAAAAGATCTTATCTGTCCTCTAACAAAACAATGTAACAACAAAATACATTTGTACGGCATCGTAAACTATTTTAAACTGAACATTTAAATTCGGAAACCGTCAATTAATATAGCGGTGATAAGAAGACACAAACATTTTATTTAAATAATAATTAACTGAAATAATTTTAGGGGGAAAAAAAGTGTATTGAATTATCATTAAAAGCACAACATATTTGTCGATTGTCGAGTATATAATTTTGTACTATAATATACAGATAAATATCATAATACAATAAGAAATGAAAAAAATTAAGTACAAGTAAAGTTATTGATTTTTTAAAATCTACTTTTTTCTTGGCGCGTTTTTTTTATGAAATCGCTGTTGGCACTACAAATAATTTAGGTTATGTACGAGTACAATTTGGTTTTTATCATAAATTATCAGCTGTCAGAAAAACTGCGTTCATCAGCTCTTTTGCTCATGTGTAATTTTTCATTACATAATAGATGATGTACGATATTTTACCTACAAAATAATATATTGATTAATATACCGTTTTGATATGTATTGTTTCTCGTATTTACTACGTTGAACTATCGAATGAACTGCTAAACGTAAGTACTTTATTTTATTATTTATGTTAAATTCTGCGCAGACTTTATAAAAATAAACGGCAATTAAATTTCTAATATTGTGCGCATCGATATAAGATTATTAAAGTTTTGTGCTGAATAAAAACCACCTTATTATAGAATTGGAATCACTTTAATTGTTATTGGAAATCCCAATCATATTGTTTATACTTCGATTAAGTATTTTTTATCCTTCTGCGGAAGTAAGAGTGTTATTAAGGGTAGCTGTTCTTATCTAGGTTTAATTATCGTTGGGTTAAGTATGGCTACTTAGTTCCATAAGTACAAAAACACACGATCTCAAAATTGAATTCTATCCAAATTTTCATGTACACATTTTGGTTTTGAATAAATCATTGTTTTTATTCTTATCTTATCAACAAATAACATTAAATTAAAATATTTGTTTACAACCTATGTTATAACTAATAAGTCTATGGTAAACTCGAAATATCAATAGATTAACTACAAAAAAAGTAAATTACTCTTAAATTATGCTAAAATACTATAATTTTGTATGGAAATAAACTGTAAAATAAGTTATTCGAATTTATTTTTATTTTTTATTTAAAAGAAATTATATTTATAATTTTATATGAATCAGCTATATTTCAACTATTTGTGTCACTCGTATAGTAAGTAAAACAATTATATGGGCTTACATCATATATTACAGACTACATCACCACATCATACATTGGTAGATTTTAATTAATTTTTTTTAGGTTTTGTAATAAGTTTGAAGAACATAAACTAAAATGCAGTTTTTATTGGATATTATCAAATTTACAGCCCTTTTTACTGTGTGAGTACCTATATTTAAAGACTTACGCAGTAAGTAGTAGCAGTACTAAATATTTAGACATTTATTTTTCATACTTTTCTATATTTACTAATTCAATTTCTCTTTATTTTATTGAACTTTATAAAACAAAACACGGTTAAATTTATTAAAAATGAACATAACAGTATTTTATGTAATAAGGTATGAATGAACCTTATCACACATAACAGGCTATCACATTTTTTTAAAGGCAAAAATTTATATTTTTTAAAGATATCAGCGATATTTTTTTTATAATTTGTGTTTGTATAATTTTAGCATAAAAAATGAAGACCGTTTTACGTATATTTCAATCACATAGTTTAATAAAATATAACAGTAAATTAAAATATAAATTAAAATAATTTTTTTGAAAATAGTAGGTACGTTTTGCATCAATATATTTTCCTACCTACTACCCATTTATATTAGAAATAGTACGTTTTGCATTGTCGCCCCACAATTATTCGAGTAACGTTTATAAAAAATACCATACAAATACTATTAAAGTACAGTTTTTACTCACATTTTTAACATGATTTTGTATAAATACCTATATTATTTATTATACATTAATATAAATAAGAGCAAGTAGATTACCATTAAATTATGCTAGTATATTGGTTGAAAATTAATAAATATTAATATCTTAATTGTTGTTATTACAACGCTTAAAAGACGATTGGGGGGAGTGGCGGTTTAGCTTTCACCAGTGCCTAAACATCAGAATGTTCACTATTAAATAAAAAATAAAAACATAATAGAAAATGAATTTTGTGTAATTGTATTTTTGTCATCAATGACATTGCTCAAAATAAGGGTGATATCCTTCGGACGATTACAATTTTGTATACTAAAAGTTTAGATTTTAACTATTTCCTCGTTTTTCTCAGTAATAAAATCATTCAATAAATATATATATATATATATATACCGGGTGATTGGTTAATAATGGAACAGTCAAAAACTTAGAAGATATTAAACTTTTTTTATAATTTTGTAGTTATTAGTTCGGACAAATTTAATATATTTTTGAAAAATATAACCCCATTCCTTATTTTATGTTAAAAACGTATGAACTTAAGAATTTAAAATGATAACGTATATATTTTATTAACTTTTCAAATTAAGAAAAAATTGCTGAACATTTTGAATGGTCGATAACCAATTTTGAATAATTAGTTTTCAAGTTATTAAATTTCAAAATTTATGACCAAAAGGGAAGGGCAGTTGAGTAATGCGCGCAGATAAAAACTCTAATCACCGCTCTACCCTAGTCCTAAATTTTAAACTTAAACAACTTTGAAATTAATTATCTAAAACTGGTTATCGACCAGTCAAAATATTCAGAAAATTATTCATAATTCAAAAAAAATAATCAAATATATAAGTTACTATTTAAAAAACTCAAGGTTATAAGATCTTAACATATAAGGGAACAAGTAAAAACTTTAAAAAAATTAAAAATTAAATTAAATTAATTTTGTCCCAACTATTAACTATACAATTTAAAAAAAAGTCTAATATCTTTTAAGTTATTGACTTGTCCATAATTAACCCATCACCCAGTATAATTTTTTTTTTTTAGGTTTTATTGAACCGATACATCTACTAATAAGTTTGGAGAATCTGAACAAGAGAGCAGTTATTACTTAATATTATCAAATACAGAGCCGCTTTCTGCAGTGTAAGTTTATTTAATAATTTACTATATCCTTTTACAAAATCATCACATATGATTCTGATTTTATCTAAGAATCTTATAATTAATTGAAACATATTTTTATAAGTATAATTTTATCATAGTTAAAATTGTTATTTCACATTCAAGATAGAAATTGATAGAAATTAAGATAAACCAGTCATAATGGATAAACATATGGAGCCTCTTTCCACTGGGTAAGTTCAATTTTTATCGCAATTTTGATAATGAGCTCACCGTCCTGATTTTAAACTATTTTAAAATTAGATTTTTACCAATAATTGTGTGTAAAAAAGTTATAATGCTTTTGATTACTTTAGATGTAATAATTTTCTTACCTTGTTTCTTATTAGAATTACTGAATCAAACTATGATGCGACAAGTATTAAAGTTGAAAAAACCATCGAAGTCGACAACATTTTAAATTCCACAAATTCAATTCCAGTGCTCCTATCTAATGAGTAAGCTTATTTGTTAACTGTTCAAATAACCGTCATTATGAATATAAATCAGTTTCTAAAGAAACGTTTAAAATTCAAATTTATATTTTGGGAGACATCAATATACAGGGTGTCCCATTTTAAAATACTAATCGATTTTTCTCTAAAAATACTAATCCAATCAAAAAGTTGCTTATTAGAGACTTTTAGAGTACAAAAGGGGACGTTATAAAAATTTAAAAAATAGGGTCCAAAATTCAAAATGGCTGACTTACGGTCAAAAACATGTTTTTTTTAACGGAAACAATGTATTTTTTGTTAACCAAAGAAATTTTCTTATCAAAACTAACAACTTTTGTAGGAAAATTTGTTCGGTAAAACCCCATAATTTGTAAATTAATTATTTTTAGCTATTTTTAGTTTTGTTATTTTATTTTGATGCATATGGTAACCTTGTCATGTGTAGTAACCTTGGTATGTGTGGTAACCTTGGTTTGTGTGGTAACCATGGTATTTTTAGTAACTTTGGTATATGTGGTAAACATGGTATGTGTGGTAACAATGGTTTTTGTCTTTGTGATACACAAGAAAGGGAATAACCTTATCGATAAAGATAATGATAAACATACCACGGTTACCACACATACCATAGTTTAGTATTTTAAAATGGGACACCCTGTATAACCTCATCACTACTCTACAAATGTTGTTTTATATTCTTAGCAAACCAAACACCTTGTCTGTAAACAAATGGGAGGTCGACGAAATTGATAACGATTGTTATTTCAAATCTACGATACAAATTGAAGAAAATCAAGATTTGGCAGTTCTAAAAGACGAATATGCGGACTCTGTTTCTACTAGGTAAGTCTGTTTTTTTAATCGTCATTTGTTATATAAACAATAAACAAAAAAACAGGTTTTAATTTCTTTGCGATCTACTTACCCTAGATAAATATATAATATTGTATGCTTCATTATAATATTATTTATCAATTGAGTAAGCATATTTGTTAACTGTTCACATAATCATTATTATTAATATAAGAAACTTTAACTTTTTGAGTTGAAACTCAAACTTCAAAAATGTATTTAGCAGACACAAAAATATAAACTAACTACTCTAAAAAGGTGTTTTTTTTATTGCTAGTAAACCAATCACTGTGGCTGTAAATAAATGGGAGGTCGACGAAATAGACAACGATTGTTATTTCAAATCTTCGATACAAATTGAAGAAAATCAAGATTTAGCAGTTGTAAAAGACGAATATGTAGACACTCTTTCCACTAGGTAAGTCCGTTTTTTTATTGCCATTTATATAATCAGAAAACAAAAATTTTCTTTCAATTTTGCTGGACTACATACCTTAGATAAATGGTTCATAAATTTATAATATTGTATGATTCGTTATAATATAATTTACCAGTTCATGCCCAATATTACTTGGTACGTAATTATAACATAATAAGGATTTACTTTAACTCAATGTTCAAAAATATAATTTGGGAGACACAAAATATAATCTCTTTACTCTAAAAGGTTGTTCTTCAATCGTTAGCAATGCTTCGTTATAATATGTTAAGATTGATTGGAAAATTACACAGCATGTCTGTTACGAAAAAAAGAATTTCTCAATTTTTTAGCATGTAACATGCTTAAGACTTGGCCTCCCAACTCGAAAACGACACAAAAAATCGACACGAAATAGTCTACCTCACACACCCAGTGGACTATTCCCTTATTCTTATCTTAAATATTAGTCTTATCTTGCCTTGGTCTCGCTCTCGCTCATTCTCAGTTCTGGGTTTTGCCTAGCTATCTTGGTCGGTATATCATTGGGCAATATGGTAATGTCCATTCCCTTAATAATAATGACGGCGTGGGCACAGCACCTCTACTAATATTATGCTGCACGACTGAAATGGTCGTAGCTGTCCCTATTACGTCACTGATGCGGCGCTCATATACACTGTGTAACATATAACATATGATGCAACCAAAATAATAACAAATAATATTTAAATTATATATAAGATCTCCATAAACACGCTTAGAAACAGATTAATGGGGACTTTATTGATATGTTTAAGACATCGAATAGATCGTAAAAAAAAATATTGGGCATCATTCCGAACTTAACCATATATTTTAAATATACAATCTCGACTAATAGTATCTGATTAATTATTAACTATTGAAATTTCAAATTTGTGTAATAATTGAGTCTTTAAAAGTTCATTGGTCTGAAATAAAGTTGTTTGTTCTTTAGATTAAATAGATAAAATCAGGTTTTTTATAAATACATACATCTCAATGAATAAATTCTAATTTAAAAGTTTGTCACAACTTACTATAAATGTTAATAAAATTGTTATTACATTTATTTTACTCGTTTCTTTAAGTTTTGTTGGATCAGACAATGACACAACAAGTATTAAAAATGTTAATATTATTTTAGGCCTATTGGCATTTATGTAGGAGGATGTTAGGTATAGCCATAGACCAAGCAAATCCCGAAGTTGGAAGACTTACCCGAGAACAGTTTAACAATATTACAGGTTTAGAATGCCATGGTAAGATGTCATATATAAAATACAAAGATAATTAGTTACGTTGATTACCTAAGTGTGTGAGATGTATTTCATTAATTCCAAAGACGAATCAATCAGTATAAAATATTACGGTTAATAATATTCGGATAAAATAAAACGTTTTAGTAAGTTTTATTTAAACGCTCGTTTTGAAACTACTGTTTTCTTGTCATTTATACTGATTAGTAATAACATAATTTAAAATATTCAAAAGGAATTAAAAAACGCAATAAGTATGTAGGCAAGCAACGGAGGGTGTCAAGTTTATATTGTAATCATTAAAATATTTTGAACTTTTTCAGACAATTGGTATTTGCAAGCATAATATGTGTACCTTTATATTCTTATCTGGTGCAATTCTTCAAAAAAATCTTGCATTTTCCATACAACTTATACTTGATGCAAGCTCAAAAAACGAGTGTAATGTTTTTTTCTGCACGATTCACTTTAAATTATAAATTAAAACACAATTTTTTTGTGAAACAATTACTAAAATCAAAATATTTATAAGCTTGAAATTTACTATAACATAAAAAAATACATAAAATGACTGAAATGACAAAAAATCGAGAGACCGTGTAAATTTAAGAGCTTGTTGTCAATAGAAAAAAGCACCAAATGCTTCACACTAAAAATAGATAGATGATTGATCTTAGCCTTATTATAAAAAAAAATATACATGTAGAACGGACTTGATATCAATGCGGTAATTTGATGTTGAATTTGAAAAACTTCTGTGTTAGTGTTTTTCTACAAGACATAAAGGAGATAGGCCAAGATTAAAAATGATTACGTGGACCTAGGTAGTACATTTTCATGGAAAGTATACTCTGGTCAATTTTATCATAAGCTTTAGTCCGTATGTACTACATCAACTTGGTATTTTGTTTTAAATGTATCTATAATAAAATAATCGAATTTACAATAATGCGCTTAATACCAGCTAACAGATATGATAAAATTAGCACAATTGCTATTATTTAAAAAACAGTGTATTTTGAAATTATTATTTTATTAAAATATAACAAATTGCCAGTCTATAAGATAAAATTTGATGTGATTTGAGGTAATGAGCTAATGTTTACTTGAATCTTCACAAATTATAGGTACTCGCTAAAAATGTTTATTTAAGAACAGTTTTATTCATTAACATAAGCAATGTCTGTAAAAAAAAAAAATTGATTTGATAATATTATAAATAATATTTTTTTTGAGAAGTTATCCAGTTTTATACTTAACCGATATTAATATTAATGATACCAACCGAAATGGCAATAATTGTTTTCCTTGAAAATTAATGGATCACTTTTGAGTTTAAATTTTTAAGGAAATGGCGTTATAACTATAACTGAAACCCATACCGGTCTTTACTCGGCTGAGTATGTTAACATACATGCTGTCGGTACTCGGTTCTTAAACATACTTAAGTCAGAGCGTGGCTGAATTTAGGGCTGAAAAGAACTTATACAAAAATACGGGTAAATACCATTGGCCGATAATGCGAAAAAAGTATATGTTTTATTTCGTTTTATCAAAAGTATAAGCCTCTCCGACAAAATTTGGGTTATGGGTATTTGCCCATAACTATTATTTATAATGCATTCGTAAAGAAAAAAATTATTTGATAAAATATCTACGCTTGTTCTCTTAATTTTCTCTATCAAGCTTCTTGTACTTCTATAGAAAGACGACAGTATTTTTTTTTAACATATCTCTGTATATAGTCAACTGGATATTAACACCAATAATATATAAAAAAAGAATCTAAACGGTGTAGACTACATCTATATTGTGTATAAATTCGGCATGACATGAATCATGTTCCAATTCAACGAGTGATGTTATTGGACATTTGGTCTTGATTCCTAATAACGAATTTTTAAATTCCATAATATTATCTTCTACATGTTTTTCGTCTGCAATAAACATATAATTCTTCTAAACTTTTGCACTTTTTTTAAACCACTACTCACTAGACGAGATGACAATATTTTGGATAAAAATGTCATTCTCTTTTTTTGATAAACCTTATATTTTACATTTAAAATAACATTTTTTACTTTTTCAAAATACCTATAAGATTTTTTATGAATTATACATATTTGTCTTTCCAATAATGTTACTTCCATTTAGCATAAAGTTAATTTAGCGTAAACAAATATGTTTTCAAAAAGAAAAATTATAAAATTACAATTATTTTTACAGTAAACTAGTTTAAAACATTATAAGAATTATCCACTATTATTAAAAAACAAAACATATATACATACAAAATTTAAACCAGGCTGAACTTGCCTCTATAAACTTTTTTTTTTTTTAATGATTTGAATACCATAAATGATTTTTATTATTATTATTTTTACATTATTAATATCAATACTAGTGAAACTTTGACGGCAGTCTTGATACCGGTTAGGATAAGTCTAAGGACAATTTTTTATTCCAACGGCGTTGATTAGTTTTTAATGTTATATTTAAAAATAATATTTATGTGCTGAAATTCTAGTGTTGCTTGTGAATACATAATATATAGTTGGGTCCCCTATCCCCCTTGGTTCACTTAAAATAAAAACGACAATTTTATGTTGCCTATAGCCGTAAAAAAGCCAAATCCGCCTCTGTCAATATGAGTCTAATACCTTATAACATAAGTATGATTAATTACAAATATTTGATTTGTTACAACCATTATAATTAGGTACCACTATATTATTGTATACTTTATTAGTTATTACCATACAAGTAGAGTAGGTCGGTACCACCTACTAAACCTACTATATACAAAAATAAAATAGAGATGTCAAAACGGCCTATGGGAAGTGCTATAAAATCCTAGCCCCCCTCCTACTCGCGTCAGGTAACGGTCCGCGTTATAAAATAAAGTCCCTTGTTCTGGCGGTGAAATGTCCTAGACCCTTAACGATATCCGCTTTAGATAAGACTATTCTTTAATGTTTCCGTCCGTTTCGGTGTTTAACAGTTTATTATTCGAGAAACTATAGGAGTCGTCCCGTCTAGTAATTTTAACACAATATTATAAGTACTGACACACTTTAATAGCGTACTAGACAATACACTAAGGAGCTGCACAGCTGCCACCAAAACGATTTAAGTAATCCTTTAAATGTTTGAAAACTGTGTCGGTTTAAGGGTTTTTTTTCTCTTATGGTTAATATTATGTTTTATTTTATTTTCAATAAATATAAATCAATTAACATATTAAATATTATGTTATTAGGCTGGCTACAAGAAATTTCGTGTATTTTGATTGCCACAAAAGAAAATTTTAACAATAATTATTATTGTTGTCAATAGTTTGTATATTTTTTTGTTGTTTTCGATTCTACAAGTGTAGACAAATCCGTATTCTAAGATTTTTTAAATTTCCAATTAAAATGATTAATATTGAAAACCTTTAAATTTACATTTTAACCGAAAATATGTTGTTTTATATAATTTTTATTTGGCATTATCATTTGTCAATATTCTTTAAACTGGATTTTTTCGACAATTTTTATTCATTTAATTAACGGCAGTTGGTTGAATTGGCAAGAAAAAAGTAATACAAATTTACTGACTGCTACTAGATTGA